TTTATAATTGGGGTCTAATTTATGCACTTTTAGCCATGAACTCCTACGAGGGTGTGATTACACTTTACCAAGTAATTGAATTATCGAGATCCATGGATGTGGCAGCTCTGTTTTAGCGGTGGAGTTATTGCAAGCAGCGTGAGGCATTAGGTTCTCACGACGAATGTTTGAAATCGTAGATAATTATCAGCCGAACTTTTCTGCTTCTGTTTTTTCTTTGTGGTTGAAATCAACTGCAAAACAGAAGCACACGGGGTTGTCCGGACCGTTTATGAAGAGGTTGTGCAGTCCAACAAGCAGCTGTACAGTGTACGCTCTAAACAGTATTTGTATATCTCTGATCTCCATTTATCAAATAAAAACAGTCCAGCCCTGACAGAGCATGTTCGTCCACTTTCGCTTCCCCCAGCTGACAAGTAAACTTTGCTATAAGAACTGACACTCCAGACTAAAGGAAATATTTGGGGGTTTGTGCGCGCAGTTGTGTGATTGATAAAAATGTTTGTGACAGTATCCGCTTGTCTCGATGCTTGTCTTCCATTTTTCATCTCCTCCTTTCCCCTCACCTCCCTCGGCTGACAGCGGTGGTTTTTGTTGATGTGAAGTTCTGTCATGCTACAGAGACCCAAAATTCCATGCTTGTCTTCTCATAACAGATGGATGTGAATGTTTAGAGCACTGTATGGAAACAAAATAAGACACTGAGTGATCTGGGACTGTTAAAGCCTCAGGTAATTCACTCGCTTTTTTTTTTTTTTTTTTCGCCCAGCAACTCTTGATTTGTGAGCCTTGCTTTGGCGAACAATGGCGACGATTGGGGCCCGTTTCAGTTTCAGCAGAGCACAACTCCAGACCCAGTGACATCTGTCTTTATCCTCTTTATGGCAGTTTTTTTTGACATGTTTTCTGTATTGACGTGACACTGAAGGAAAACAAGGGAATCTATTTTCATGCAGCATGTAGATAAGCATGAATCTGTGATCTGTGGCACGTTTGTCGTGTCAAAACTTTGGTTTACTTGTCTGTTCTGCTCTGAATTTTTCACACTTACTTTTAGTCCCCAGCTGACATTGTAGAATCATCCATTGCATCCCACATCAAATTACAGTCATTTGTGTCAGTCAATCAATAACTTGTTGTTTCCCCAAATTTCAGTGATGGGGCTGGAAGAGACTCCTGTTCACATATTTCTGACTTTCAGAAGAAGTGGGAGCTGCCATATTTACATGCGTTTATTTCCATTTCAGCTGTACTTAGAGTTTGAATCGAATTATTTTTGATGCAGGGATAGACTCAGTGTCATTCTCTGCACTGCTTTCATTCCCTTTCTGAGAAAAATCAGGTTGCTGATTCTGAAGCTGACACTAAAGCAGATGTTAATTCATTTGC